GTAGATATAGAGGTGAGTTGTAACGGAGTAAGATGGGGTAGATTAGTGGTAGTTAAGAAGTTTTGAATGGACAGTGTCGTTGGTTGGGGAGTATTTGGGTCATCCTTAATATTGTACAGCGTTTGGTAGTAAGTAGCAAAGGCGTCAGCAATGTCCTTTGGATTTGTAAGGGAAGTGCAGGTATTTGGGTGTAAAATTGAGGAGATTTTAGATTTGAGGCATCTTTGTTTGATTATTTTTGTTAGAAGCGAATTTGCTTTATTAGCTAGGGAGTAAAATTGTGACTTTGTTTTTTGGAGGTTGAGGTCATATTTATGTAGTAAGAGGGTTCAAAGTTGGTTCCTGTCTGAGGTGAGGGATGCAGATGTGGAGGTATTGGGGGTTTGTTTGTTAATTTCCTCATTTAGTTTTGTAGAAGCTAGAAGTTGGTCAGTTTGTTGCAATCTCTGTTTATTGATTCGAGCGTTAGTTGTATGAGAATGCCTCGCATATAAGCTTTGTAGGCAGGCCAAAGTGTGGTTATAGAGATATCAGGTGTGGTGTTTAGGTCAAAAAATAGGTTATGGGCTTCTAGCAAATGTTATTCTCTGGGTTCTTCAGAATAGTAGAATTCAGTCTCCAGATGGGGGGGGGAGTGTCGAGCGTTGAGAGTCGTCCAGGATTATGTTGATTGGAGCATGGTCTGACCATGTGATGGTACCGATGTTGGATGATGTTACATGTTGTAGAGTCCATTTATCCGTAATAAAGAAATCAATTCTGGAATAAGATAGATGAGAGGGGGAGTAGTAGGTGTAGTCCTTTTCGGTGCTGTGTTGGCATCTCCAGATGTCATAAAGGTCGTGATCATGCAGGAAACGATTGAAGTTTTGTTTTGTTGGAGGACGAGTGCAGGAGTGGGTTGCCGATAACCGTGAAGTCTCCACCGATGATAAGTCTTCCTTTTTTTGTGAAGAAATAAGGGTGTGGAAATTGGTTCTGATTGTTGTTAGGACCATAAACATTCACTAGGGTGTAGAGGGTGTTGTTAAGTTCACAGATCAATATGTGATAGCGACCTTGAGGGTCAGCTGTTTCTGATATATAACGGAACTGTATAGTGTCCTTTTATAGCAGTAAGTATAGCAGTAGTGTCCTTTTATAGCAGTTGTAGTTTGGGGGTCTTGGATGTTGCGAAGTGAGATTCCTGTATGAAAACAATGTCCCCGTGAGATGTCCGAGTTTCTTTTTGGAGCATCGATCTTTTGAAGGGGGAGTTTAAGCCACGAACATTTAGGGAGGTTATATTAATCATCGTGTGGGTCTTTGGTACGGTTTGTGGAGTAGTAGAGTTGATGCTTGAGGCGTTGATCCAAGTTGTACGGGTAAGAGTGTGAGGAGGAGAGTTTTGTAGCCTGGGCCTTGTTGAAATGACTCGATTGGAGAGTCAAAAAATTGTGCTCCATGTTCAAGGAGGATACTTAATTGAATAATTGAAGTATTTATTTGACTGGTGGTGCAGGGACTGAGGGATGTGAACAGGGGTAAAAAAGGCTTGCGTAAAATGCAAGAAACATGAGTAGCTTGAGACGCTACTTCAAAACTGGGGGGTGTAAACAAGCATTGACCATGTACAAGGTCATGCCAAACAGTGTTTTGTAACAAGAAAATTATTTCAATCAGGCCGATCACCGGATCTTAGTTGAGTGGATGGGATATAGTGGAGTAGAGCGTCAGAGGTGCGCAGTTTGAAATGAGTTGGAGGTATAGCATGTCAAAATTATTCCACTTCCATCTGTTGCACGGTAGTAGAGGTGGATTGTTGGGGGTCTACAGGTATAATATTCCATGTCTTCAATAAATCTATCCCCGCTTCTAGGTTTCTAGTTGTGTGAATTCTGCCCTGGTGTCTGATGGTAATTTTAGTGGGGAAGCCCCACTGGTAAGCAATGCCGTGTTTTATAAGGCTTTGGTGATGGTAACCAATTTTTTACGATTTAGAAGTGTAGCTTTTGAAAGGTCCACATATAGCTTGATGTTAGCATGTGATGGCGGTAATGGAGGGGGGTTTCTGGCTGCTGTCATTATCTTCTTTTTTATGTGGTAGAAATGGATGTGTGCCAAAACATCCCTAGGAATTGATGCTGACAGGAAATACGGCTTTGAGATTCTGTGAGCGTGGTCTATGGCGAGTTCAGTATCTGAGAGAGAGGGGATAAGGTTTTTCATATATTGTTGGATGTGGGGTAATAATGCCTTGTTGGTGATATTTTCAGGAATACCCCTAAATTTAATGTTATTGCGTCTAGAACGGTCCTCCAGGTCCGCTAGTTTCAGATTGATTTGTTCGATGTCGGCAGTGTGATCAGCTTGTGCGACGATCAAGTCGTTGTGAGCTATAACTATTTCCTCCATCTTTGTCTCACTATGGCGTAGTCTGAAGTTTGTTGTTTTTGAATCAAAGTAGTAATTTGGGCAAGTGATGATGTAAGGTCGCTGTGCAGTGTCTGCCTGAGTGAGAGACGCATGTTTTTCATGCAGATTTCCGAGATAGGTTTGTCAGACACAGGGAACATCTCTATTATTGGAAAGTTAGTGGCATTTTGAGGGGATGGATGGATGAGGGTCTGGTAAGCAGGTGTAGCGTCCATGTCCAGGCGTGGACGTGATTTGGCTGGGCTACTTGTTGTAGGGGATGGGGGGAGATGACTCACCAGGGTCCCCTGGATAGAGCGAGTACTGCAGCCTGGGATCCGTCTGCTGGTTCCTGTCATCCTCTTCAGATCTGCATGTAGTGTTAATGGAGCCGGTGCCACCTTGTGTCCCAGCCTGAACAGCGGGGAAGAAATGAGTCAGCTTCCCTGGCCGTCCCGGGGTTTTTCTGCATCAGGGCATAGCTGGGGAGGGTTGTGCACCTCTGCCCTTGCCCTCTACTATGTTTATGTCCCTCGGGGCTGGTGTAAGCCACTTCGGATCCAGCGGATGGACGGAGCGGGCTTACTACACGTCCATGCAGGGCCGGCCGCGCATGCGCCCTCCAGAAAAATGGATTTTTAAAAAGGTTATCTGGTTTCTTGCTTCTCTGGAATGCCTTGAACTCCTGGGAAGGCTGAGTTATCTTTTTACGAGGTGCTAAATTTTACAGGTCCTTTTGGACAGTGAGGCCCCAGCTCCCTTGGGGGTCTTATAGCTCATAGCCCCCTTGCTGGGCTCTGGTCTGTGACACTTTTAACACACACACACACGCTGCCATATGTCACTGTGCCTCTCAGAGAGGGAGGGGGGAAAGAATGAGGGGAGAAAATTGAGATTCTTAACAAAATGGAGGCTGCGTCTTTCACTGTGTGCACGCTTGTTACAATAGCTTTTCCTTATTCTATCCAAAATGAAAAAAAATGTGTTGCCTATAGTTTTACTTTAATATTAGTTCTAGCACTGATAAAGGGAATGGATGAATGAATAGTGATAGCACCAGGAGTAGTAAGATTCCAGGGGTTAAAGGATAATTTCACATTTGACCAAAAAATATTAATGTACATTTTTTGCAGGTAAAAAAGTGCATTTATTATTTTTGGTTGCAGGAGCCTGTAAAGAATTGCACCAGCGATGAGCAGATCACTGGTGCCATGCAGGTCTCCTTCAGACCTGTCAGTATATCTGCTTGCATTTACGGGATGTACACACAAACAAAAATGTACACCTAGGTTGATTTCCCCTGGAGGTAGACAAACGGTGCTGCAAAGCTCACACTATCTTCCTGGCACTTTAAACAGCATAGGAGTATAAGATGAAGAGCTGGCAACTCGTTCTCCCGATAAAGTACTTTATTCATAAAGGGTACATTGTGCAAGGTACAGCAGTTGTAACAACAGCAAGCTGCTGTAACTTGCACACTGTACCCTTTATGAATAAAGTACTTTTATTGGGAGAACGAGTTGCCGGCTCTTCATCTTATACTCCTATAACTGACAGGAAGATTTAATGAACTACCATGGCACTCCACAGTGCTGTTCATTGTTAAGATCCCTGTAGAGCCTGGACCGGCTATGTGATGTCAACCGAAACTGAGTCACAGGAGTGCAGGAATAAGCACACTCCTATGACCCAGAAGAGAAGTATGGTCAAAGTTTCGGCCATTCTTCTCTTTTAATCACAAAGGACTTGTGATATTTTTATAGGAGACATGGTATGTTTTATTAAGAATATATGACAGCTTATAGGCTATCCCAGAGGTCTCCAAACTGTGGCCCCCATCCCTTGGGACACTATTGCTTCCACTGACACCAAAGACAAGGCGCTATTCCTTCTACTGACACCAAAGACTAGAGCACTATTCCTCCACTGACACCAATGATGGGCACTATTCCTCCCACTGACACCAATGATGGAGCACTATTCCTCCCACTGACACCGATGATGGAGCACTATTCCTCCCACTGACACCAATGATAGGGTACTATTCCTCCTACTGACACCAAAGACGGGGCACTATTACTCCCACTGACACCAATGATAGGGCAATATTCCTTCCACTGACACCAACAATGGGTCACTATTACTTTCACTGATGCCGGTGATAGGGAAATAATTCTCTCACTGACACCAATAATGGGGCACTATTCCTTCCACTGACACCAAAGATGGGGCACTATTCTTCCACTGATACCAATGATGGGGCACTATTCCTCCTCCTCCTGACACCAATTATGTAATTTTTTACTCCCACTAAACACCAAGCCTAGGGCATTGCTTGCTCCCACCGATGTCAGGGCATTGCTTGCTCCCACCGTTGTCAGGAGTATTGTCTACTCCCACTGGCCACAAAACAATATTTTTTTGCTATTAAACATGTCTAGTAAAAAAATTAAAAAATCTAATTTCTTCATAAATTTAGGCCAAAATGTATTCTGCTACATGTCTGCTAAAAAAAATCCTAATTGCTTTATGTGAAAGTTATAGCGTTCAGGCGGTATATATACTGGGCTTTTTTTTTTATACTAGTAATTGCAGTGATCAGCGACTTATAGCAGGATTGTGGCTGGGATTCTGACACTGGGGGGAACTGGCTTGGTGTCACTGACATCCCCAGTGACACCAATACAGTGATCAGTGCTAATAAAAAGCACTGACACTGTACTAATGGTACTGGGCATTAAGGGGTTAACATGTGGGGTGATCAAGGGGTTAACTGTGTGCCTTTTTACAATGTGTGCTGTGTTTGTGCTTCTCTAGTGTGCTGGAGTTGACAGGGAGGAGAACTGTTTTGTTTACTAACAGTTCTCCCCCCTGTCAGAGATCCTCGGCAATCACCAGGCACCAGCGAGTAATCACCGGCCAGGACCCGGTGATTGACAGCCCCCTACCCGGAAATGCAAAAATCACGTATATTTACATGATTTTGCACACAGCTGCCACCCTATAGCAGTATTTCTGCTATGGGGCAGAATTGAACCAGTTAAATTACATACTTGCGGGATGCCGTAAATGTATGCAAGATGTTATGGAACAGTGCAATTTTCATGGATAGTCTCAGTGACAGTGAACACTGGCAGCTCATATTTGGCTGTGGTATTAATTCTTTGATTTTACAATTAGCTTAGCTTATATACAACAGCTGCATCCCAATCTGATACATTTCAGTTGTTAAAAAAGCAGTAATAGACACACTTTGATTGATAGAAATAGGGTAGAGGCTGTCCCTTTTCTGATACTAAATCTGTACTGATGCAAAACTATCCTGTCACTGGCCAATTTTTAGCAAGCTCTCATTATTTATTAGGAAACAATAGCTGATACAGCAGTGTAAAACTGGTCAGCAGTATAACATTTTTATGAGGAAGAATTGGCCAAAATACACTACAGACCAACTGGTGCTTTGCTATAAGAATTAAAGTGATTGTAAAGTCAACAATAAACATGTTATACTTGTGCAATGGTTTTGCATAAAGCAGCCTCAGACCTCCTCTCCTGGGGTCCCCCGCTGGCACTCCAGGTCCCTCCTCTTTTCTGTGGGCTGACATAGCAAGCCACTTGCTAAGGGGGCACACGTGCATGTTCACTCTCAAGCTGTGTGTGTCTATGAGCCGTGCTCCATAGACACACACAGCACAACTTGCCCCCACCCCCTGGTCCCTCCTCACAGTATTTGATTGACAGCAGCAGGAGCCAATGGCTCTTGTCTGAGTCCCTGTGAGAAGAGGAAGAGAGTTGAGAGAAGGCAACAGCCGGACACAGCGCTTGATCACCGACAGGCTCAGGTAAGTGTTTGGAGGGGGGAAATAGTTCAGTGGGGCATTTGTTACCTTGATACAGGGAATGCATTAAGGTACAAAACCACTTTTACCACTTTTGTCTCCTGAGGATTTACCACCCTTCCTGACCAGACCAGACCATTTTTTACGTTACGGCGCTGCATTATTTTACCTAACAATTGCGCGCGGTCATGCAACACTGCATCCAAATGAAATGTACGTCCTTTTTTTACACAAATACAACTTTCTTTCGATGGCATTTGATTGCCTGTGCTTTTTTATTTTTTGTGCTATAAAAAAAGGCTGACAATTTTGAGAAAAAAAACATTTTGACTTTTTTGCTATTAAACATGTCCAATAAAAAAATGTAAAAAATCTAATTTCTTCATAATTGTAGGCCAACATGTATTGCTAGATGTCTTTGCTAAAAAAAAAATCCCAATATGTGTAAATTAATTGTTTTATGTGAAATTTTATAGCATTTACAAATGGCAATATATATACTGGGATTTTTTTTTTTTTTTTTTTTTTTACTAGTTCTGACACTGGGGGAACTGACTTAGTGCCATTGACATCCCCAGTGACACCAATACAGTGATTAGTGCTAATAAAAAGCACTGACACTGTACTAATGGCACTGGGCAGGAAGGGGTTAACATGTGGAGCTATCAAAGGGTTAACTGTGTGCTGTTTTACACTGTGTGGCTGAGTTAGTGCTTCACTGTAAGCACACTGCTTGGCATGGCTGTGCTATGCCAAGCAGTGTGCTGGAGCTGACAGGGGAGAGAACTGTTTTGTTTACAAACGGCCTTTCCCCCCCCCTGTCAGGGGTGCTCAGCAATCACCAGGCGCCGGTGAGTAATCACAGGTCGGGACCCGGTGATTGATAGCCACAGCTGCAAACAGCAGTGCGGGTAAGTCACGTGCGTGCCCCCTACCCGGATATGCAAAATCACATATATATATATATGTGATTTTGCACACCTATGTCGCCCTGTAGCAGTACTTCTGCTATAGGGCGGACAGGAAGCAGTTAAGATACTGCAGAGGATACAGCACTGTAAAGCTGATCAGCATCAGGACAGTTTTAATAAGGCATAAATGTGCTAGGGACAAAGATTACAGGTAGATTTTTTTCTGCAAGAAGTATGAGACCGCAAATAATACATTAGTGTAAAATTGGCCACAAGCAGGACAGTTTTAATCAAGCATAACTGGATTAACAAGTACATGCTTTTATTTCATTTATAGGGATTGTAGGGGTTGCAGTTAATGTTAGTAATAAAATGTGAGTTGGTTTAGGTGTACACTGTTATTTAACTTTTTGTTTTTGTTTTCCTTTCAAACATTGCAGAACACATGGTCAGAAACAAGTGAATACTCCATATTGAGCACCCACACGTTAAAAAATGCCATATTAACTTAAAATAAAATTTAAAATCTGAAAGCTAAAGGTGACTGCTGACAAATCAACCACAAAATAAAATAAAATACAATAATAATAATTAGGAATGCAGCAAAGGGGTTGATTGCTAAGGCCTAGCAATCAAAATTAGATGTCATGTACTCAGGGCATCTGTTTAGGCCCTCTCTGAACACTAGGAGAAAAGCTGCTTAACCGCTTCCCCCCCAGCCACTGCACTTAAATGGCCGGTGAGAGCTTCGCCATTCTGAGTGGACGTACCTGTACATCCTCAGAATGCGGGCGCACGTATGGTCGCGTGGCAGCGCACCTGTCCCCCTATGCTCGGCGCATCACCGCTCAGCAGAAGGGCCCTGTGATTGTCCCTTCTGATCACATAATGTCCAATCACAGCCATCATGTAATGTAAACAGGGCTGCCTGTCAGTTGATCGGCTCTGCTTTTTCTCACAGAGCCACCAGTGAGGAGAAGCAGAGCCGATTTGTGTTGCCAGCCAGGGAGCAGTGAGTTATACAGCACTTACACACATTGATCACCTAGCTAGTGTCCCCACACATCTGTCACGGTGTCAAATACATATCTGTACCAGTGATCAACATCTGTCACAGTGTATCAGTTTCAAATCCACATCTGTACCAGTGATCAACATCTGTCACAGTGTACCAGTGTCAAATCTACATCTGTACGAGTGATCAACATCTTTCACACAGTATCTGTGTCAAATCCACATCTGTACCAGTGATCAACATCTGTCACAGTGTTTCAGTGTCAAATTCACATCTATTACAGCGTACCAGTGTCAAATCCACATCCGTCACAGTGTACCAGTGATCAACATCTATCACAGTGTACCAGTGTCAAATTCACATCTATTACAGCGTACCAGTGTCAAATCCACATCTGTACTAGTGATCAACATCTGTCACAGTGTACCTGTGTTGAATCCACATCTGTACCAGTGATCAACATCTCACCAGTGTACCAGTGTCAAATCCACATCGGTATCAGTGATCAACATCTGTCAGTGTACCAGTGTTGAATCAACATCTGTACCAGTGATCAACATCTGTCAGTGTACCAGTGTCAAATCCACATCTGTACCAGTGATCAACATCTGTCACTGTGTACCAGTGTCAAATCTACATCTGTACCAGTGATCAACATCTTTCACACAGTATCTGTGTCAAATCCACATCTGTACCAATGATCAACATCTTCGCACAGTACCAGTGTCAAATCCACATCTGTACCAGTGATCAACATCTGTCACAGTGTACCAGTGTCAAATCCACATCTGTACCAGTGATCAACATCTGTCACAGTGTACCAGTGTCAAATCCACATCTGTCACAGTGCACCAGTGTCAAATCCACATCTGTCACAGCGTACCAGTGGTCAACATCTGTCACAGCGTACCAGTGGTCAACATCTGTCAGTGTGCCAGTGTACATCAAAATCTGTCACACAGTACCATTGATCAACATCAGCAGTGCAGCATCAACATGTCTGAAAGATTGTGCAGCCGCAAGGAGGCTTTCCAGATACTGAGTACGATGGAGGAGAATAGCTGGGAACACTCTCTCTTTCGCAGTGGGAAAGCAACAGATTCTGAGGAGGGGAGAGTTCAAACAAAGAGGTTCAGGTGATCTGAGGAGGAGCAGGCATCCACCGGTAGCACTGCAAATCCTGGTGTAGTGGTGAGTACAAGCAGGGCAGTGTTTCCAGATGTTATGCCAGGCACTAGTAATGGGGTGTCCTGTCCAAGACAATAAGGTAGGGCTCATACTAGCCTCCCAGACTTAATTTTATATCCCACGTGGCTGCCTGCTAACCTATAATTCCCCCTTTTACAGCACAGCCAGGTCCTCAGATACAAGCAGAAAATTTTACGCCAATCTATTTTTTCCATTTGTTTTTTTTACTGATGATCTGCTAAATTACATTATGAAGCAGTGTAATTTGTATGCTAGCCAATATATTGCCAGAAATCCTAATTAATCATATGCCCATCCATTTGTATGGAATCACCTCACCATGGAGGAATTTTACATTTTTCTTGGACTTACATTGAATATGGGACTGAAAAAAAAATTAATTCAATGACTACTGGTCTACCCAACCTATAGATAATATGCTAGTCCATTCTTCTTGCATGCCCAGAACATGCTACAAAATGATAATGAGGTTTTTACATTTCGTTAAACAATACAGATGCATACACAAATATAACCAGTTCATGAAGGGTGGGGGGGTGCATATGAACGACCAGATGTTACAGCCCTACTTAGTCACAAGGAGATCAATCTGTCAGGGCTCCGGGTATGACCAGAGGTATGTGAACTGACGCAGGCTTCAGATATGTTATAAATGATATAATTTATTAATACTAACAGTACATAAACGCAGTGCATAACACAGTGCAAACGAACCAAACCAAACCACCCACAGATAACAATACATACAATGCAAGAGTAATCAGGCAGGCCTGTGTGAGGGGGTCAATAGCAATCAGGCAGGTAGGAACAGGAGGAGCAGGCAGAGAGTAGTCAGGTCACGAGCCGGGTACAGCAACTAACGGGCAGGTAGGTACAGGCGGTCAGGCAGAGAATGGTCGGGGTCACAAGCCAGGGATCAAACAGGAGAAGTCAGCAGAGGTCAGATCAGGGCAGGGTCGGCAGCGAGTCAGGCAGGAACAGGAACAGGAATGCAGGTAACAAGATACAGGGGCCCATAGAAAAACACACACCAAGGCACAGACTACAGGTCTGGCCATCCCTTAAATACACCTGCAATCAGCCTCAAGGTGTTTTGGCTGACTGCAGGGTTGAGTCTCTGATTGCTGAGAGCACCCGCTGGCCAGCCCTGGTACTGCAGCCCACAAGGCAGGTGAGTCCCACCATTATTGGCAAGTCCATTCCTGACACAACTTTTTGTTATAAAAATGTCACCATCTACTTGTATCAGTTAGCCCTGTAAAATTTGTATGTCATCTTTTATAAGTGCATACAAAGATCCCTAACCTACCTGAAATACCAAGAGGACATTGTTACAGCCCTTCTCTTTTTCGCATGGCCATGCCCCCCGAAACAAATGTGCTCTGATTTATTGACTAGACTCCATGAAAGCCATTTCCCTGACATACTCCCTCTTACCCAAAAAGACAGCAAACCCAAATAAAATGTTGTGTATGTTCCAGTAACAGAATTTGCTGTGACACCCGGTACTATTGTCCCCGATGTCCCTCCGTGGCAGCAGGCACTAGAGAGTGGTTCCATATCTATCACACATCACCACACTATTAGTGAAGTATAGTACATGTGAAGTGAAGATATTTTTCCAGTGTCCGCTATCTATTTCCCTGTATGACCTGAACTGTTTGTTGACGATGCCTCTGCTTGCCACCTGAACTGACCTGGACTGTTTATTGACGATGCCTCTGCCTGCTGCTTGAACTATCAACCATGTTTCCGCCTTCCACATGAATTGACCTCGGCCTGTTAATCGACCATGCTTTATGCCTGGCTCCTGAAACTGGTCTTTTGTTCTGCCACTGTACTAGTGGGATTCAAGACAACACAGGGGTCTCATGTACAGTTGCAAGAAAAAGTATGTGAACCCCTTGGGATTATGTGGAGTTTTGCATGAATTGGGCATAAAATGTGCTCTGAACGTCATCTAAGTCACAACAATAGAAGAACACAGTCTGCTGAACATAATACTACACAAACATTAGATGTTGCCATGGTTTAATTGCACATAACATGTAAAACATTCACAGTGCAGGGAGGAAAAAGTATGTGAACCTTTGGACTTAATAACTGGTTGACCCCTCCTTTGGCAGCAATAACCTCAACCAAACATTTCCTGTAGTTGCAGATCAGACCTGCACAACGATCTGGAGTAATTTTGGACCACTCCTCTTCACAAAACTGTTTTTCAGTGTAGCAATATTCTTGGGATGTCTGGTGTGAATCGCTCTCTTAAGGACATGCCACAGCATTTCAACTGGGTTGAGGTCAGGACTCTGACTGGGCCATTCCAGAAGGCGTATTCTGTGCTGTTGCAGCCATTGTTTTGTTGAATTACTTGTATGCTTTGGGTCATTGTCCTGTTGCATCACCCATCCTCTGCAGAGCTTCAGTTGGCGGACAGATGGGTCATACGTTTTCCTGCAAAATGTCTTGATAAACTCTGGAATTCATTTTCCCATCAATGACAACAATCCGTCCAGGCCCTGAGGCAGCAAAGCAGCCCCAAACCATGATGCTCCCTCCGCCATGTTTTACAGTGGGGATGGGGTTTTGATGTTGGTGTGTGCTGTGCCTTTTTTTCTCCACACATAGTGTTGCATGTTCTTCCCAAACAACTCAATCTTGGTTTCAT